TCTTTTCAGGCCATGGAACAACAACAACAACAACAAATTCCCTGTACTCCACCAGTCACTGTAATATTATCTTTGAGAATTTATTTATGGAATTTCTGTCTCTCAGAAAGAATTTTGTTTAATTTTTCACTTATTTATGGTAAACTTCATGAGAGCGGGAAGTTTGAGTGTCTTGCTCAACTTTGCATCTCAATGCCTAAAGCAGTGCTTCTCAACTAGGGCCAGTTTTGTCATTTTCTTCCCCTACATCCTCATCTCCCAGCAACCATTTAGCAATGTCAGAAGGTTCCTTGATTTTCACAACCAGTGGTGAGGTGTTATTTGCCTCTACTGGGTAGAGGGCAAGAATACTGCTGAATGTCCGTTCAATGTACAATATACACTCTACTCACAACAAAAAGTTATCTGGCTTCAATTGTCAGTAGTTTTGAGCTTGAGAAACCCTATCCTAGATGAATGTCTAACACATAGAGTGTTCAATAAACACTTGCTGAGTTAAGGAGTTGGGGTAGAAAAGTAAAAATTTCTCTTCCTTTTTCTGATATAAAACTGTAGGGCTAATCAAATATACTCAATCCTCTTATCAGTTGTTCTGATGCTAATTGCACATTCAATACGTCTTCATTTTATAAACCACCTGGAGTGAGGTCAGATCTCACAAGTTAAAAGTGACAATTTTCTAGAGTGTGCCAAATCTTCCAAAATTCCAGAATAGCTACAAGATTGCAGGTCCCTATGATACCCAGTAGAAATGGTGATGTGGAGGCAGACTCAGACTTCCTAGTCCACCTTAAAAATTGAGGAGGAGAATCAGCTTCAGCATTAACTCAAAACAATTATCTTCTTTTTCTAATATTTTACCAGTTTGGATGCTAGCTATCTCTTTCATGTCATTCTGTGCTTCTCTGGCATGGCCTCATAGAGGTTGCACAATACTCAGGAGTATGAGGATTATATGGTTGGTAGCCAACAAATCTGAGCCTTGTCCTAGCCTGTGCTATCATCACTATGATATGCTCTAGCTCACTGTTACAGTCACTATGTCTTTCAATTTTGTTGACTCCAATTCTCTTTTCTCTGACTCTCCACCTTTCCCAACATGAAAAACTCTATGAGAATTATAAGAAGTTACAATTCAGGATCCAGAATGAAGCAAGATACAGTTCTTCAGTTAGGACAGCTTGTTCATATTCATGCCCTCAGACAGTCCTCTCTTGGTTTGTGGCCCCTCTCCCAGCTTTTGCACTGCTTAGGCGACTGATATAAATCTCTTTAGCTCTGACTTCTCCAGTAAGCCTGGGATAGAAAGCTTTCAGCTCTCTAACTTTGTGAGTTGGTAAGGGTAGCTCCACTGACAAGTGATTGGAGACATCTTGCTCTGCCAGCAAGCCTCCTGCCTGAAGGTGCTCAGAACTCTCGCTCTATGGACCAGGGAAGCCCATTGTGCTGTTGCAATTTTGCTGCTTCTGCTGCCACCATTTCACTGCCACTGGAAATAAGCATCTTTTGTGTTATAATTCTCTCTTTGTATACTGGATCTAGGAGGCTTTCAGTGAAAGAATCTGGTTCAAAGAACCAGAGATTGTGTTCCCATCTCTTCTTCACAGTGATTGTGAAGTCCACACTTCCTTTTCTACCTCTGATACTCATTTTAAACAAAGCAGATTTCAAAGCCGACCAATCCCTTTGTTAAGTCTTCATGAATCTTATTTGCATGGCAGAACTACCAAAAGTCCAGGCTGGGTTTAGAAGGGGTCTTGGTACTAGAGATATTGTAGCTGATGTTAGATGGACCTTGGCTGAAAGCAGGGAATACCAGAGGAATGTCTATCTGTGTTTCATTGACTATGCAAAGGCATTTGACTGTGTAGATCATAACAAACTGTGGCTGACTCTGAGAAGAATGGGAATCCCAGAACACTTGATTGTTCTAATGTGAAACTTCTACTTGGACCAGGAGACAGTCATCAGAACAGAGCAAGGGAACACTGCATGGTTCAAAATTGGAAAGGGCGTATACGTCAGGGATGCATCCTATCTCCATACCTTTTCAACCTATATGCAGAACAGATTATCCGGGAGGCTGGGTTCTATGAGGAGAAATGTGGGGTCAAGATTGGTGGACGATTTATCAACAATCTGCGTTATGCAGATGACACAACCCTGCTTGCTGAAACTGAAGAGAACCTGAAGCACCTGCTACAGAGGGTCAAGAACTGCAGCCTACAATATGGATTGAGGCTCAATGTCAAGAAGACAAAGATTCTCACCACTGGACCAATTGGCAGCATCAGGATGGATGGTGAAGAGATTGAGATTGTACACAGCTTTAGTTTGCTTGGCTCCATAGTCAACAGTCTTGGCACCAGCAGCCAGGAAATTAAAAGGCCCATTGCCATGGGAAAGTCTGCTGTTAGGGACCTCTCCAAAGTACTGAAGAGCAATGGTGTCTCTCTGGAGACTAAGGTGTGTCTGATACAGGCCAGGGTCTTCGCAATCACTTGTTATGTATCAGAGAGTTGGACAATGACCAAGGAAGATAGAAGGAGAATTGATGCCTTTGAGCTGTGGTGCTGGAGAAGAGTATTGAGAATACCATGGACTGCTAGGAAAACAAACAGATTTGTCCTGGAAAGGGTTAAACCGGGTGGCTCCTTGGAGGCAAGGATTCTGAGGCTCCGTCTAACATATTTTGGGTATGTTGTGAGGAGAGACTGGTCCTTAGAGAGGGTCATCATGCTTGGGAGGGTGGAAGGACAGTGCAGGAGAGGAAGGCCCTCTGTGAGGTGGATTGATTCAGTGACTGGGATAATTGGGATGGGAGTGTCAGAGACAGTGCGATTGGCAGAGGACAGAGCGGAGTTTAGGGCTGTTGTACATGGGGTCGCTATGAGTCGCAAGCGACTCGGTGGCACATAACAACAACAACCTATAGGAGGATTTCTTTATATTTTTAGCAAGGTCTCCAAACCTTTTTTGGTGAATCACAGCATCTTATTTGCCTAGTCACATTTAATAATTTGTAGAGAATGGCAGGAATTAGAAGAGAATGGCTAGAAAGCACATATACAAGAACTTTATTATACCACAGACAAATTAACTTTTTAAAAGAATATCTCAATGCTTCCTTTTTCTGATAATCATGATGGGATTTGAGCTGTGTAGAGCTACAACCTACAGCTGTGCTTTAGCCTACTCTAGACAAAGCAAGTGCAGCCAGTGGAGAAAAGAAACAGTATTTTGGAAGGAAAACCTATGTTTTATGGCCCAGTAAATACAAGGTGGGGGGGGGGAATCTATCTGGTGAAGATATTTCAGGGAAAGTTTGGAGGAGAAACTAGGAGCTGGAGAGCAATATAAAAGTAGCTTCTGTAAAAATATATGATACTAAGAAATAAGCAATGAAGAGACATGGATTTTTTGATGTCTATCTGCATTATGATGTAGTCATTCCCATTTGCTGTTAACCTAAAGAAAGGTTGTTCAGTAGGACTTCCAGTACAACACTGAGTAGGAATAGCAAGAGCAAACATCCTTACCTTATTCCTGATTTCAAGGTGTAAGTTCTTAGTCTTTCTCTATTAAGTATAATGCTGTCTATTGCTGTTTTTAAGTATAAATTTAATCATAATGAAGAACTTTGCTTTTATTTCAATATTGTTGAGGGTTTCTATCATGAAAGAATGTTGGTGTAAAGTAGCCAAGGGTGGACAGAACCCAGTTCAGGCCAAGAAAGACTGTCTATTGAGGAGAAACTGCCGGGCTGACTCTAGAGACCAGTAACTATTTAAGTTAGAGTGGAGTTTTATGTTGTCTTAGGAAATTGGGGAGTTCGGATGTATACAGCTACTTGACACAAGATAAGGGAGCAGACCAGGGGTCGTACATAGTTATTCCTGGGGAAAGGTGGTGAAATAGTTTTGCATCTCTGACAGAGATTAACAGAGTTGCAGCTGCTGCTTTGTGCATCTCTGTGGCTGTTCTGGGGAAAGGGAGGGAGAGCAGCTCTGTTACCCTAACAGCTGGATTTCATGACATTCCCTTTTCCCTTCCTGGGGTATTTCTAATGGTTTTCTAGATAGCAATTTTCATGGACACTTTCCAGTGGCTACAAAATTGGCAAATATTAATGAATAGTGAGCACAATTCAGTGTGTCCAGTGTTGTGAAAGGATTATATATGACATGCTGACAAGAGAGAGAACAACTTACCCAATAAAAATATGAGAAAACATAGGCAAGAATCATAAATTCATAGTGGAAGATTAATCTCCTGAATCTGGTCATCCACTTTCTCTGACAGTCCACTAGGGATTGCTCAGTGACATGGGAAGGAGTCTCTCCAGACATGGAATCTGATGTTTAATGGCATCATGGGTCAGACTTCATTCGCTAAAGTGATGGAGTTTCAAACTCATTTTTTTTTCCACTGTGTGCCATTGATCATCTACTAAGATCTTTCTTTTTTTTTTTGTCATCCTTGCGCAGGGGCCATGCTAATCTTCTCTGTATCGTTCCAATTTTAGTATATGTGCTGCCGAAGTGAGCACTACTAAGATCTTTCTAATTCCATTTCCTCACTTGAAAAATGAAGATAAGGCTTTTGGGGGTCATTGTTAAAATGAATATTTAAAACATATAAGGTATTTAGAAATCAACTGTCACATAGTAAGTACATGAAAGAATTTAGCTACTCAGACTGACCTGTGAGCTCCTTCAGACTCAGAAAAGAGAACTTGGGAAGAAGCAGAAGCAGATGAGGTTAAAGTTCTCTTAGTCTCCTGGGCTTCTCATGCTCACACTCATATTCTACACTTTCTTCTTCTCTTTAAGGGAAGTTATTTCTAATCACCCACATTGCTCAGAACTGCCACTTTCAGCCTGAGTTTCTTTCCCCTCGCCCCTAGAATGCCTATGTCCTGATGAACATGTGAATGGCCTGTTTGGAACACCTCTTTTGTTAAAGCCATGCAACATTCCAAAAGAGATACGCTCTGCTAGATGGAAGGTAAAGTTTGATTCAAAATCAGACATTCAAGTGATAGTGACTCAGAAGAAAGCCAATGTAACTTACGAAGATTGGTTGGGATCACATTTCAACAATACACTCAATTTTACGTCCAAAGACTTGACTCTTTCCATCAAGAAAATTCAGCACCAGGACAGTGGCACCTACACATTGGAGCTCACAGGTGACGATGGGATAGATTACCAAATCAAATTTCAGGTTTCTGTGTTTGGTGAGTACCCAGGTCAGTTTGTCCTGTTCCCCTGGTTCTTACAGAGCTTTTATTTCTTACATCTTACTAACTGGAATGTTTACTTCCAGATCATGTTGGAAAGGTCCACTGGCAGGAAGAAAGGAAGACCCTGGATAGCGGGATGTGCCAAGTGACTCTATCCTGCTTGGCATTCAATAATAAAAGTGTGAGCTACACTTGGTACAATGAGAGCAAACTGATCCAGACGTGGAGGAACCACACACACTTGGTGGAACAAATAGATGGTGGTAACTGGAGCACGTACACCTGCAACATCAGCAACCCTGTCAGCTGGAGAAACCACACCTTCAACCTCACACAGGGATGTGGGAGTGATCATCAGAGTAAGCAGGCTCCTTTGGGCTACCACTAGGGCTCCAGGTGTTGAGCTCCACAACCAGGCTTGTGTTAAAGGGAGAGCTATTAGCAGATTCTAGGCTGCATTGCCCAGTTCCTTGCATTACTCAATGGTCTTGGCCTTAAGCACACAATCCCAGTAAAGCAAGGACTGCTCTAGTCTGGGTAGGATTTTATCCCCATAGAGAACCTTCTCCTGGGAGAGGTAGGTTTTCCTTTTATATTAGGGAGTGCATAGTTTTTGCTGAGTCACAGTCTTGCAATGGTTCATGACTATTGTTTATTACTCTGAGACATTGATGGAAGTCTCCTCCCTTATTTTATGTGATAGTTTCCCCCAAGCCATATGGTGTGCTTGCTCTAAACCATCCACCACAAACCTCAGGATAGTTAGTTCTTCTTAGTTTATACTTATATTCATTCAGGGAATTGTCCTGAATTAAGTTTGTACCACCTTTTATTTCGATTGTATGTCTTTGTTTAAATATATAAACAAATATTGGATAAACTATCAGCATGACCATTACAGGAAAAACACCACAATATGTGATCTTCATCATTTAAGGATGTTATACTCAGTTTGGGGAAATAAAACTAAGTACTTGCAGGCAAGAAGAAAGAAATTAAAGTTTAGGCAACATGTATGGTTATAAGGGCACTGGCTTTTGGAGTCCTGAATGGACTTCATCATTCACTAGTTCTCTGAGCCTCATTTTTTCCTTTGGGTAAAATGGTAATGACAATAATAAGTACCTCACAGGTAAGACTGAATAATATCTGTCAAGAACCCAGTCAACACCCACCTGAGACATTTAATTCCTTTCTCTTCTGTCTTGTTGGTTGGATCATATATCAGATCACATTCATGGCAACATCTTAACATGCAGAAGTTCAAATAAGGAAGAACAATGAAGGCAAGAGAAGGAGGAAGGTGAAATGAAAGGGATGCTTGGCTCATACTAACCACACAGCAAATATTTGAGCTTAAAACAAATGAATGGATTGATGTAAATTTTACCATGATAGACACTTTGCATACATTGTTTTCCTGTTCTGTGGCATCAGAACTGACTCATATCTAACTCTGCATAGGGATTTCAGAGGTTGTAAATTGCAGGGGAGGAGATTGCTCATCTTTCTTCCACAGAGAAGCTGGCAGATTTGAACCACATCACTGTTGAGTTGACAGTGCAACATTTTACCAGTAGGTTATAAGAGTTCCCTTAATATAGATTAATTCATGCATATAATACCCATAGGTAAATACATTTCTCTTTCATAGGGTAAGGAAACGGAGGCTTAGAGAATTAATTTGCTCAAAGGCACACTTCAGCACTTTAGTGCTGAACAGCAATGATGTCAGTCTGGAGACCAAGGTGTGCCTGATACATGCCATGGTCTTTGCAATCACTTGTTATGCATCAGAGAACCGGACAATGACTAGGGATGATAGAAGGAGAATTGATGCCTTTGAGTTGTGGTGCTGGAGAAGAGTGTTGAATATACCATGGACTGCTAGGGAAACAAACAGATTTGTCCTGGAGAGGGTGAAGCCAGGCTGCTCATTGGAGGCAAGGAGTCTGAAGCTTCATCTGACATACTTTGGACATGTTGCAAGGAGGGACCAGTCCTTGGAGAGAGACATCATGCTTGGGAGGGTGGAGGAACAGCGCAGGAGAGGAAGATCCTTAATGGGATTGATTCAGTGACTGGGGTAATGGGGGTAGGTGTGTTGGAGACAGTGAGATTGGCACAGGATAGGGTGAAGTTTAGGGCTGTTGTACATAGGGTCACTATGAGTGGCAGGCGACTCGACGGCACATAACAACAACAACAACGGAACACAGTTTACGTAATAAAATCTGAATTTAATCCAAGTGTGCCAGTTATTAACATTAAAACTCTAGGACTTACTGCAAGAAAGTTTCCCAACTGAGTAGAGAGAGGTAAGCTTAATGATGAATCCACAGGGCATGTAGAGAACAGATGCACCAGAAAGGAGCATGGGTTTTGCGATGGTCTGTGCATCAGACAGAAGCGACGGGGCAGAAGGAGGGATGAACTCTCAGTCCTCTGGCTTTCTGTGTTCCTCAGATTTCCAGTTTCAGATCCTTGTGGTGATCATCGTGGTTCCACTAGTCATACTCTTCCTTGCCATCCTCACTGGCTTCTTTGTGTGGTGGAGGAAAAGGAAGCAGCCACGTAAGTTGAAGTTTCCAAAGAGGTGTTGGTGCCTGAAGTGTTGGTATAATGACTGGAAGTGCAATAATTACCTTTCCTTAGACATTGTGGGATATGTGTGTGTGCTCACAGTTTCAGGGTGAGAAGCAGCAGTGGCTTGACTCCTTTTCTCCAATTCATGTACTTTTTAGTGGTCACCTGAGCGCTTTTGGTCTAATCTCCAATGTGCATGTTTATCTGCAGGTGGCTGGTGTAGGGTTGGCCCTGCCCCAACACCTTTTGTGCGATGGTTGATTACTACCCTTATATTCTTTGGATATATATGGAGATGTATCCTGGGAAGAAACACTAGCCTCCCTCCTTCTTGGAATTTTTCTCAATGGTTTGGTCAGCTGGGATGGAGGTGGAACCTGTTAGAAGTAGAAACCTGGGCAAGATGATCCTTGTGGATTTTTTGCAACTCTGTTCTTTGCTTCCTGTTTCCCATAGGTAACAGATCAGAGGAATGTCTGACAACTTATGAACTTATCAACCATCCACAAATCAACAGAAATCAAGTAGGGAACCCTAGGGACTGGAGTTTCTCTCAACTTCTTTGGAAGATATTTTTGGGTGGATGACTGTTCATAGCAGGAAGACAAATAGAACCAGACTATTGTCTTCCCAAAGTAGTCTGCAATCTTCTCCCAACAATTTATTGTCCATAAATATCCTAGCTTTTTATAGAGGAAAAATTAAAACAAAGGGGAAAGGGGAAAACAAGAAGATGTGGCCTTGTGAGGCAGAAAGTAGCTTTTGAGAAGAAATAGAGTACAATAGAAACAAAAAAGTAGGGCAGAATAATGCTGCTGCTGGAGTCCTTTGTCTTTTACACTTCACCAGCCCCGTTGAGCCTCAGGGTGCATCCAGCCATCTTGAATTTAATTGAATGTGTTGATATTTTCTTGTATCCAAAAAGTTGTGTCAGCTCTTTTTGATCTTTGCCTACACTGGGGAAAACCTTGCCTGTTTGGCCAAGCAAACCACAGCAGTTTTGTAGTTGTTTCTTGCCCTTTTATTTAAAAAAAAAAAAAGAAGAAGAAGAAGATGCCTGAGTCTAACTAAGGTGAGGAAAGGAGTAACTGGCTTAGCACAAGGTCAGTCCATCCAGCATGGGCCCCTCTGAGAACCTTTCCCTTCGCTCTCTGCCTGCCACAGAAGGATATAGAAATGTAATAATGGCATGCCAGTATCTGACCTACTATAAAGTCACAAATGGGAAGAAATATCAAGATCAATAGCCCAAGGTCATTTATTACAAGGTCAGGCATACTTCCTTTCCAATCTCTTTACATGTTCTGATACCACGCCCCCTTCCTACAGTACTTCTCTATTGGGTTTGATAATTAGTTACAATGGTCACACCAAACTCACAGACAATACTTAGAACTGTGGGGGTTTTATGGAAGTACTAGGTTATAATCTAAGACCAAGAATTACTCAGGATACGGTTTTTCAACCACAAGAGCTTCCTGGCCGTGCCCACTGGCAGGTCTCTCCGTGGTCTTTGGCTTGTCTTCAGCCCAGGTCTTTTGGGGCTCGTGGAGTGTTTTGACTTCTGTTCTGCTTGAATGAATGTTACAAAGAGTTACAAAACTCTTCAGTATTTATACTCACACTTAGTATTTATGTGGTAAACTTGGTTGAGAACTCGGAAAATGAAAGGAAAGGCTTTAAAGTTACTGAAGCCAGTGACAGGAGTGCCACTGGGTAACAAGGCTTGAAGCAATGTCATCACACCAGGGACATACACCTCCTTAATATTTTGCTCCACTGTTAGTCTGCTCTTGTTACTTTCTCTCCCTCCACTTTCTGGGGCTAAACATTGAGGAAGAGCTTTTAAGCCCTGCTACCTTGCTCCCAGGATCCTATCTTTGTGCTGTCTCTTTTGAGTTTTACCCAAACCTGGACAGACTTCATATTATTACACACGCCCTCTTCAGCATCTTGTGCAGGATCGAGAGCAGGAACAGGAACGAGGACAAGAGCAGAATCCCTCTGGAGAAAGCAGCACCATTTACTCCAAGATTCAGGCTCAGGTACTTCTCTGATTTCTCCAGTCCTTCACTTTTTTATCTTCAAAGCTTCTGAATGCCTCCCAGATACTTAATTTCTTTGAGTGGCAAAATAAGATCTTAGTACTTCTGTGGGATAGAAAACACCTTGGATTAAGATGTTTGAAAAGAACAATGTGTGGTTTAAAAGAGTCTTTACAGAATTGGAATTTATAAAGTAGACCTTCTTTTTTCATCCATGCCTGGAAGAGGGTCTGGGTCCAGATAGTCAAGAGGAGAAGAAATCTTAACAGAGGCTCTGACTGAGTTTTATCTCCTTGCTCTTTATAATATTTGAGATCCTTTTACCTTAACCTAGCTTCCTAGTACACCTGATTTTGGGGGGCATGTCTGTAGAGGTCCCCTTTATCTTATTTGATTGCACATTTATTAAGTACTGATTAAATACCAGACATTTGAATAGTGCCTTATGTCCATCTTCTCAATGAATCTTCCATAACAGCTTTGTGAAGCAAGTCCACAATAAGATTCATTTCACAGATAAAAAAAAAAAAGCAAACCAGAAACTTAGAATGTTTAACCAACTTGTTCAAAACCCTATAGCTGGATAGTGACGAAGCTGTGGCAAATGGTTTCTGAGTTTCCACTCCACGTCCTCCCACCACACCTGTAACGTTCTAGGGTTGTGTAAATTTAACTGTATATTAACTGGCGAAATAAAATAATCAATTGCTCTCTAGTCAATTCTGACAAATAAAATTCCACATGTGCTAAGAGTAGAACTACATTCCATTGGTTTTCAGTGGCTAAATTATTAGTAATAGATTATCAGATCTTTCTTCTGATGGACTTGAGGCTTCAAGATTTTTTTTTCAGTTAGTGTCCTAGTGCAATTAACCATTTGTACCATATCCACTCCTAGTATTGCATTTGTTTCCCTTGAGTCTCTCCCCAAGAGAAATACAGCCTCTGGTTACCGTTAATGAAAAAGTTTGATTAAAATAACTTTTTTTTTCTCTTCTCTCTTTTAAAGAACAAAGACCCGAAGCACCAGTTTCCTCAGGTTGGTGGCAGAGCTTCAGGGGCAAAAAAATATCCTTGGGAATGATGGTAGGCCTCAGAGAAAGTTCAAGTAAAAAGAAGGATAGAAGGAAGGTAAGGCGAAGAGAAAATGATGAAGGGGAGAAGAGAAAGGTCAAGGAGAGAAGAGAAACAAGACCTCAACCACTCCCAGGACCTCTCTGGACTGAGTGGGGTTTGACTCCTCTTGTTCCATTAAAAGACATATCTGTTTCGTTTCACTTATTTTGGCATTCTGTAGGATAGTCAGTGCTCTTCTCCAGCACCACAACTCAAAGGCAGTAATGTTTTCTTCTGTCATCATTATTCATCGCACAATTCTCAGATGCATAGCAAGTGATCCTGAATCTTAGTTTTTAAACTTAGGAACTTTAGTTTTAAACTTAGGCACCTTCGTTTTTGAACTGGCGTCATCACTCTTTAGTACTTTGGAGAGATACCCAACAACAGATTTTCCCAGCACAATTCACCTTTTGATTTGACTAGTAGTTTCAAGAGACTGTTGATCCAAATAAGATAAAATCATTGACAACTCCAGTTTTCCTCCATCTAGCATAATGTTGCCTATTGATCCAGTGGTGAAGATTTTTGTCTTCCTGATTTTGAGATGTAATCCATATTAAAGACTGTAGGGGGTTTTTTTTCTAAATAAAATTGTATTTTAATTGTGATTTTAATGGAGAGACAGAGAGAGAGAGAGAGAGAGAGAGAGAGAGAGGTTATTAAGCCCCAAGGACAGTGGGTGAAAGTGAAAAAAATATCAAAGCAAGATCACAAAAGTGATGAATTTATTCTTTAGTGTCATCCCTATTTAACTCCAACAAGAAAGATTTTAATAAAATATAGAGAAGAGATCTTCTTATTACGTATAATTTTGAGCTCTGGCAGCCAAATGGTAAAAAGCTGCACTGCAATCCCCAAAGGCAAAGATTTCTATCCACCAGCTGCTCTGTGGAGAAGGATGGACAATCTCCTCCTGTGCGATTTATTGTCTCTGAAAACTCTCTGAAGGGTCAGCTATGGGTCAATTCCAACTTGACAGTATGCAACAACAAACAATCCCAGCCACACCGCAGGAACATCTTTAAAGAAGGATGTTACTTCCCCTAGAGGACACCTGATCAGGACCAAAGGAAAGGCAATCTGCCAAAGGGAGGCATTGAGATGCGGGGAGGGGGGGGGATCTTATAAAGTCTGCTTGATCCTATTTCTTCTGGACATACAGTACTTGACATTGAACTTCATTTACACTGTGAGACAAATTATAACGCCGACCTTCTAGAACAGCACATGAACAGAGAATGGCCCTAAGTGCAGGCTGGATTTAGAAGAGTCCACAGCACTAAGGATACTATTGCTAATGTCAGATGAGTCTCGGCTGAAAGCAGAGAGTATCACAGGAATGTCTATCTGTGTTTCATTGACTATGCAAATGCATTTGACTGTATGGATCACACCAAACTGTGGCTGACTTTGAGAGGAACGGGAGGAGGACCTGAAGCCCTTGCTGCAGAAGGTCAAGGATTGTAGCCTTCAATATGGATTGAAGCTCAATATCAAGAGCACAAAGATTCTCACTACTGGGCCAACTGGCAGCATCAGGATGGATGGTGAAGAGATTGAGATTGTTGACAGCTTCAGTTTGCTTGGCTCTACAATCAATACTCTTGGTACCAGCAGCCAGGAAAATAAAAGACAAATTTCATTGGGAAAGTCGGCTGTCAGAGACCTCTCCAAGGTATTGAGGAACAACAATGTCAGTCTGGAGAGTAAGGTGTGCCTGATACAGGCCATGGTCTTTGCCATTACTTGCTATGCATCAGAGAGCTGGACAATGTTTAGGGATGCTAGAATGGGAGTTGATGCCTTTGAGCTTTGGTGCTGGAGAAGAGTATTGAATATACCATGGACTGCTAGGAGAACAAACAAGTTCGTCCTGGAGAGGGTGAAGCCAGCCTGCTCCCTAGATACAAGGATTCTGAAGCTTCATCTGACATACTTTGGACATGTTGGAAGGAGGGACTATAGTCCTTGGGGAGGGACATCATGCTTGGGAGAGTGGAGGGACGGCACAGGAGAGAAAGACCCTTGTTAAGATGGATTGATTCTGTCACTAAGGTAATGGGGATAGGAATGTCGGAGACAGTGAGATTGGCAAGGGATAGAGCAGGGTTGTTCTACGTAGGGTCACTATGAGTCACAAGTGACCCGATGGCACATAACAACAAATCTTCGAGGAGTGTTATCCACCACTCATCTGTTCATTTACTGTACTGCTTGCATATTGCTATGATGCTGGGAACTGTGTACTGATACTTTAAATACCAGCAGGATCACTTAAGGTAGGCAAGTTTCAGTGAAACTTGTAGATGAAACATATTAACTGGAAGATAAATCCTAGTAATCTACTTCTGAAAATTAATCAGTGAAAACCATATAGATTGTAGAGGAATATTGTCCTATATAGTGCTGGAAAATGAGTCTTTTAAACACATGGTTGCTGCAACAACAGATGAATATATCAACAATCGTAAAAATAGTACGGGACCAAGTAATGTTTTATTCTCTTGTTCATGGAATTGTCATGGGTTAGCAGTGACTCAACAGGAACTAACAACAATAAACACCAAGTATTGTAAAGGTTAGAGAATAATACATGTGGAGATTAGGTATTCAACAAATTATTGTTGTTGCTGTTAGGTGCCATCAAGTCGAGTACAAGTCATAGTGACACCCTATAAACAGCCAACCTGAACCCAGTCCTATCCTGTGACATTCTCACCTTCTCTGAAACACTCTAGCTCATTGCTGAAGTCACTGTGTCAATCCATCTCTTTGGAGGTCTTCCTCTCCTTTGCTGACCTCTCATCGTTCCAAGCATAATGTCTTTCTCCTCACCTTGCTACATGTCCAAAATATGAAAGATGAAACTTCATCATGTTTCCTCCAATTACTCTCAGGTCATCTGACCTCTTGGCTATTCCATGGCTCACTTATACAAGCACTTGAATCTTTTGTCTGGGTGAGATTGAGGCAGAGATGGTGATTTAGTCTGGTTTCTCTAGAGAAACAAAACCTCTGAAATTAAAAGACATATTGCGATGGGAAAGTCTGCTGTTAGGGACCTCTCTAAAGTACTGAAGAGCAATAGTGTCTCTCTGGAGACTAAGGTGCATCTGATACAGACCATGGTCTTTCTACCAGTCGTTATGCATCAGAGAGTTGGACAATGACTAGGGAGGCTAGAAGGAGAATTGATGCCTTTCAGCTTTGGTGTAGAAGAAGAGTATTGAGGGTACCATGGACTGCTAAGAAAACAAACAGATTCATCCTAGAGATGGTTAAACTGGGCTGCTCCTTGGAGGCAAGGTTTCTGAGC